CACAACTCGTTGGATAAAGATAAGGAAAACCAGTATATAGAACCCAAAATAAAAATAGGCTACGCAGCATGCGCAAATCGAGATAAAAGTGCGGCCAAAAATTCAGGTAAAGATCAGGCTAATTCAGAAACAATCTAAGTACCGAAAGTTGGATCATAAGTGTAAACTTAGAAATTGCAACGATCTGGGAAATATAACCATTAAAAGTAATTACGAAAGAAACCCTAAGACCGAGATAAAGACAAATCGAAGAAGAACAAGTGACACCAGTGAATTTACTAAAAAAATGATTCGAAAACGTTCATCCGCAGTAGAAAGCCCAGGTTTGAATTTTCTTCGGCGCAATATTAAAGGAAGGGGATCTGGTAGGCCACACAGATAAAGCAGGGCTACTCAAACAAACTTTATTGACAACCAATTGCATCGCGATATCAGCGGCAAAGCCCGTTGATTATTATGTATAAAGATGACGAATCTTGGGGAACGGGGAACGCAAAGGTCGCAATGCGGGTAAATCACTTGTCAGCTGCAACACGAAAGCTGACAGCCTGCTCCTCATTCATAGCACTGACAACACTTATCTATGTGAGGGATGAGAAGGAATAAATAAACTTACGAAGAGGCTATTCAAGTCATCCTTGTTCTCGAACTTCTCCTTGATTTCCTTACCGACATCACCTTCGGGTAACTTAACATCTTCTTTTATGTTACCGGCATCATCCAACAGGGAAAGGAAATCATCATCTATGCCAACAAGAGTATATTCCTTGCGGGAAATTATTGGAACTCGCATGGTGTGTGTCGAGGGGGAAATATCCTCGTACTTCTTGCCCGTGAATATGTCGATTCCGACAAGATGACATTTAGCAGATCCATGCTTGCCTGTCTTAGCAGTTGACATCTCAATTATCTTGCAGGGGCGGTCCCTTAGAACAACAAATCCATTCTTTCGAAGAGCGCTGCACTGGCGTGGCTCAGTTGTGGATGCACCGGAATCACCGCTCACAAACTCATCATCACATATATCTGCCATTTATGTATTCTGAAAACGTAAAAAAGGATTAATAACGAAAAGAGAGAGCGAAATAAATGTAAAGAGGGTGTTATAGTGAAAAGAATTAAGCAAAAGGTGCGGACAGAAATTGGAAGGCAACGGGGGACGAAGGAGTCGCGTGCAAAGAAACAAGCGAGTGAATAGGAATTACCGTAAAAGGAAGCGTTATAAGAGTGAAATATATTTACGCCAATTTTTTAAAAAAAGTTTGGAATGAATGAAAATTAAATTATTTAGATTAAAATGTTAATAATATGCAATTTATTCTGTATAAGTTTGAAGTATGGAAAAGTGTTTAAATCGATATTTGCTTACGGACATTAATGATAAGTCCTATGCTAAAAAAGCCCTCTAATACAGACTTTTTTGATAAAAGTTCCCGAATTTCTCCATTTACGATG